CCCCCCCCCCCCCATAGTGTTTCGTACGGTGTATGTTGGGCAGTTGGTAGGGGGTGTGGAATCGGGCAGCCAATCAGGCTCTTTTTTGTACTGGTTCGTCCTGAAAGATTTTTTCGGAGTCGAACCGGGCTTCAATCGGGTTATTATGTTTTCGAGAGAGCAGGTCTTGGTATCTTGGAGTATGTGGTAAAGACTAGTGACTCAGGCATTGCACACAGGAGGGGCAGTGTAGAAGGGTTGATCATGCAGGTTTTCGCTGATGCAGAACACGCAAGCAAGGCTGCCGACAGGAGGTCTGTGTCAGGGGGTTTGGTGATGTGTGGAGGGGGGTGTATTTCTTGTTTGTCGAGGACGCAGAAGTGTGTTACGTTGAGTACTACAGAGGGCGAGTATGTTTTTCTTGCACATGTTTTGAAGGAGATGTTATTCCTGAGGCGGGCGTGGCGTTTTATGATGCCAGATGCGGGTATGCCATGTATGTATTCCGGTGTACGAGGACAGGCTTATCAGGGGGCTATTCAGTTGGCGCAGAATCTGACAAGCAACAAACAGCAGTTCCAAGCACATTGACGTGAGGCACCACATTATCAGGGAGCTTGTAGGGAGGAAGGAGATTTCGATTTTTCATTTGGAGCCAGTTTACCAACAGTTGTTTGCCTGACTGAGAGCCCGGTTCCGGAGGTCGCATTTTCGTTTGTAAGCAGGAAGGAACGATTGGCGATCGGCGATCGCTTCTGTGGGAGCAATGTCCCGTCCTCTCGAGCACACGTGGTTTATGGTGGAACAGCTAACTTAGCTGTTCTAAGGCTGTAAGACATGAGTGAGTGCGCCCCGCCCCCGCCCCCCCATTCATTATGTTTCCAGATTTCCCCAGCAACGATGATTTCTGTATGGAGGCCCCGGGGATGAACGCCGGAGCCGGGGAGGCAGACGCCCACAGGCCATCAGCAGGAAATTTTGCAAGTATCGTCCCCGGCAGTACTCAAGATGCACAAAAAGTGCGGACGTAGGTGCCACCTTCATCAACTCTGGCTCGTATTCCATGTTCAATGGCTGGTTCTCGAAGCTTGCCACTTTCGAGAAGAATCTGGCCACAATGTGTGGGCACCAAAATACCAGCGGCTACGCCAAAACTGACTAAGAACCACGGATTTAATAGCCAAATGGGAAACCTTCAACAGCGCAATCGCCCACACCACTGATAGTTTTGTTAGACCGCCCATGGGTGACCTATGAGCATGCCCATGAGTGGCTCATGGGCGGCTGGAGTGCCCACCGTGGGAACTTCAGCCTAAAACTTCGCCACCAGCATATCAACCTGGAACTGAGCCACCTTCACATCAACCTATTACGTAGCCACCAGTGCCAACCTAGCACGTGCCGTGTGGGCTGGGGGTTAGTGATACGGTTAGCGTTAGGGTTATTTGCCGATATACTACCCGTTCCAAAGCAGATAACGTATTGTTTCGGAGTACACTGGTTTGGTTGAAGGGCTCTCATTGGCCGCCCATAGGATGGGCTTCCCATGGGTGGTCCATTGGCCGCCCATGGGCTGCCCACGGGCTACCCATGGGCACGCTCATGGGTAGCTCACATAGGTTGCCCATGGTCATGCCCCTACCCATGGGCATGGGCATGCATGCCCCTGGGTGGCCCATGGGTAACCCATGGGCGACTCATGAGCTGCCCATGGGTCTAACGGGAAGCCCATGGGCAGCCCCTGGGTCAATCCATGGGTCACCCATGGGTCACCCACGTAGTCAGTTTTCGGTTAGGAAAGCTGTAGCAAGTGTGGGAGACCCCGACAGCGAGTACGATCGGTGTTCATTCTGCCGTCAGCCAAGAGCAGGTACTACTCCATGTTGATGGGCGAATCATCACCGCGGCTGATCCCAGCCCTATTGTTAGCACAGTATCGTAGGGCCGTCCCGTTGCACCTGATGCTCCGACCCGCCCGATAACCACCGACAAGAGTGATGATGGGCAGGGGGAGGACGAACGACGCAGACTGTGTCTCTGCATTCTATCTTCTGCTGCTGCTCCTTTTTTCTATGAACGACACAGGAACGACGGGGAACAACGCATTGCCGGCATCTACAAACAAACAGGATCAAACACGGATTTATGATCCCCCCGGGATAGTTGTGTGGGACCAGTCTTAGGAAGAAGCACATACCGAGAGACGGGACCGACCTCTTTGAAGACTTCGCACCCTGATCTCCTACGCAGAAGGGCTGCATATGCGGGAGAGGGGNACGATAGGATGGCACCGTTGTTTTCTGTTGGAACGCCACGGCCCTCTTAGACTAATACATCGACATCCACATCGACGTTAACGGTCAGGCTGCAAGCATGGGTACGTAGCAACGTACCAAACCCGAAAGAGCAGCAACATCGAGCTCCTTGATCGTCCTGCACACTTTCAACAATCATTTTGTAGCCGTGCCAAATATACATTGGACGGATCCGTCGGGAAAAACTGTTCATCCTCAACATGTATCCAACCCACTCTTTCATGTAGCAGGCAACCATGGCACAAGCGGAGATGCCGTCCCAACTGGACGTTTCACCATGGCCATTCTCGGGCACACCGCAGGTTGCGTGTGTCCTACACGCTACTGTAGGTCGAACATCGGCATCCGCGTGGACCTGGTGTTGGCACGGCCATCTCGGTCGGTTGTTCCAGACAGGACGCTGGCCGGATTCGGCGATCTCCCACACTATTTGACAAATGTGTTCCGCTTCCATAGAAGAATAAATCAGCTTCCATGGAAGTTGGATCTACTTCCATGGAAGCTGATACCAATTCCATGGAAGCTGCACGTCCATGGAAGCGCAAAATGACCCTCCCAAGGAAGCGATATTCACTTCATTGGCACTAAAGATATGAAATGTGGATGTGCCACTTCCATTGAAGATATCTTCCACGGAAGTCCCATAGAAATGCCATGGAAGTGGAACAGCTTCCATGGAAGTCGAACCATAGGCTCCCATGGAAGCTATTCGAGACAGTTTTAGGGCAGTTTCCATGGAAGTTTACCGCCTCGGGGTAGCTTCCATGGTCTTTACGGGTTAGGGTCAGGGTAGGGAAGCTGGTATGATCACTGTCCAGACGCTTCCATGGAAATTATTTGTTGGGTTCCCGCATTGGAATAGAGTTAGGGTGGGGAAGCTGAAATGACCACGTGTTCAGACGCTCTGTCGGTGGAAGTTGCTTTGGGCTAGGGATAGGGTTAGGGTTAGGGTAGGGAAGCTGGAATGACCACATGTCCAGACGTTTCTTGCGTGGAAGTTGCTTTAACGGAAGCTTCGTTGGTTTCACGGGAGTCGGTTTTGACCTCTGGCACCCACTTTCGTGGAAGTTGCTTGCAGCATGGATGTAGTAGAGACTCTCTCGAGCGACGACGAGCTTCCATGGAAGTGCGAGCTTCCTTGGAAGTACTTACATTCATTGAAGTACATCCATGGACGCTCGTCGCGCGTCCGTGGAAGTCCGAAATGCGACTTGCATGGAAGCAACGAGCGGTGGACATCTGGTGCTTCCATGGAAGCGGACCAACTTCAATGGAAGCGGATGAACTTCCATGGACGTTTCGTACGGCTTCCAAAGAAGGATCATGATATCTGAAACCCGAAACAGACGAACAGATTCCATGGAAGTCAAGAATACTTCCATCGAATCCATTATACTTTCATGGACGTCGATGTCGACTTCCGTCGAACGAAGTGACAGTGACTTGCATGGAAGTGACAGTGACTTGCATGGAAGGGGTAACCACTTCCATGGAAGCAGTGACCACTATCATGGAAGTCAATTTCGACTTCCATGGAAGCGTACTCCATTGTCAAATAGTGTAGGTTAGCCTGTTTGCGCACACCAAAATTGGTGAGTTTTTGGCAAAGGACTACAGAGACGAACGTGAGCGAGGTGGATGATCACAGACCCTGGCATTCTTTGGCTGGTACAATGTGTTTCAGTCTCCCAGATTTGTATGCATGGTCTTGAATGAACAGGGTTTGGACGGCACAAAGTGTTTCAGTCTCAGATTTGCACGTTCGTTCTCGTTCTTTCCCCAAATTCAGGGAGAGGTCCAACCCACCAAGTCCCTAACGACACCATCACATAACCACTAGACGACAAGCACATAGTGAGTCATTCGGCCAGCGGGTGCGCGTTGCAGACATGATTGTGCCGTAGTGGCCTCAGACTCTTTGTCGATAGTTCGATGAAGGTGGGCACACCGCAGTTTGCGTGTTGCTGCACGCCACAGTAGGTAAAACGTCGGAATCGATGACGACCCTGTGGGGGTACTGTTGGCTGCTCGCCACGGTAGTGAATTGAAGAGAGTGTGGAGTGTCGAGTAAGATCACGGAGGTAGGCCTAGATGAACATGTCGTGGGGTGGGGTGGAAGGGGTCGGTACAACCACGAGCTCGGACGGAGGAGCAAAAGAGTGGTTGGCGCAAGGCTAGGTAGGGTGCTGGGACTAGAGAGGAGCGGTGTTGGTGTAGAATCTCAGGTGCAGCGGAACAAATCTGGTTTGGGGCAGAAATAAATGGATGCACTAAAGGAGCTCGCTGAGGTATGGCGTGATGGGAGAAAGGCTAGGGCAAGGACTGGGGAACAAAGGGCGATGATGGACGCAGAGACGGAGGAGGTGGATGGAATGGATTTGGCCTCTGGAGCGGTTTGGATATTCATACGTTAGAGCATCTAACATGAACCAGACGCATCGACTATTGTGTGGCAGAACACTCTCTCGTCGTCGCCTTTACAAATCCTTATTCTCGTTGTACTGGTGACGACAACCAACTTTCCTGTACAGGCGTAACTTTCTATCTTTCGCAATGATGCAATGCCAGAACTCCAGCATCGGAGCTCGAGACGACTAGGCACTCAGCGAACCTTTGTTCAACGGGGGACTCGAAAAGAGTCAAAAAGACGGCAAGCAAGAAACGATCAAGACCCTAAAGGACAACCTACAGAAGAGGCAGTGTGACGTCGTATTCACTCTGCCGAACGACAAGAAATGACTGGAGAATACGAAAGTTGTTGCATGTGGTGTGCTGGTGCTGCCAGTGCTATCTTCACACACCTGCAGTAGAACTGATTACTGTTCCGGGCATTACATTACATTAATCGAAGTCACAACAGAGGAACAGGTCAATGCAAATATACAAAGCAAGATAGATGCAGATATTCATTACACACCGCACCAATCTCGTGTAGTATTGCGGCTCACACTTGGCAATGAACGCCTCACCAACTTTAGCTAGGTGTTTGTACCAACATCCCTCTTAGTCGTACATGCTCCAACCCTCGCTTGCACCGAAAGTCCGAACTCCTTCATCATCCGCTGATGCAGTGCTTCTTCCAGCCCCTTTAGCTGCTCTTTGGAGGTATTCTCCAGGCGATTCCGAAGAAGTTTGATGTGCTCCACCGTGGTGCGTCTGTCCTTCTCATCCTGGCGCACGTCCTTGTCATCCATGGGGTCGTCAAGGAATTCGCGCAACTTTTGCGCTCCTACTCCTCCAGGGCTTTTCAACAGCATGCTCTCTATTGTAGATTTACTAGCACCGTGTCGGGATTTTGCTGTACTGCTGGCATCGTCATTGCAAGGGCAGCGAGACAACACCCGTCCAGATGCGTTCAGCCACAACAAGAGGAGATAAACCGGAGCGCCAAAAACACACCAGCACGGGATGATCACATTATACCGAAGAAACAGCGACCAAAGGTGCATGCTCTTCTTGCTGTCGCCTCCACCATTTTCCCTCTTGTTCTGGAGTCGGTGGTGCTTGCGCCAAAAATACATCGCAGGCAACACAGATTCCATCCAGAGGAGACTTCCTCCATTGACAGCTACGGGACCCAGCACGACCCAGAACACCACTGGTTCAATGGCTTTGCTCCCGCATGCGTATGCTTCCTTTGAACGGTTGCGGGTTTGTTGTGTGTTTCCAGACACGCCGCTATTGCGTCCACAACACCCGTGCAGGCACCAAGCAATCGGCCATACGACCAGCTGCAGCAAGTTGAACGGGGTCGGAAGCATGTCGTTCGTCACGACCAACTGGTAGTGATCCATCATCCGCGCGATCGATACCTTGAACTCGCGATCGATATTTTCCGCTACCTGAGCGTGCGAGGTGCTCAGAATAGCAACGAGGAGGTTGAGGAGCATAACCGTCACGATGAAGAGACCCACCACAAGCAAGAACGTCGCCACAAAGTCGTACGTGTCTCCCGAGAATACCTTGAAAAAGTCATTGTCACCTAGCATGGCTTTGAACAAGTCCAGAAACGACTCGCCGAAGCTGTCGAAGTCGCGGAACTGGACATGGAAAGCCATGATGAACCCCAGCAATATAACCGCCATGACGAACCCGAACTTGAGCAGGATCCTCGTCATGCGAAACACTACCTGTGCAATGCAATGCACACAAATCATCACGTTCCACAGTCAGTCACCCTTGAGTGTTTCGCAGGAGGAAGTAGAGACAACCCGCAGTTGTCGCTTTCGAGCGCTCAACATGCGAGGTTGCTCTTGCGAGCCATTCCATAAAATTTCTGAACGCCGCCAAAACGGCGGGCTCGTTCTGCATCACGCTCCGCGCAGACTGCCGTGGGCCGATCCAATCTCCAATGAGATACTGTGGAATAAGTCTATACTTATATATATACGAAGTATCATAACTTAACACTCCCGGAAAACTAGCCTTCGACGTTGGGGTAATGGTTTTCGCTGTAGGATTCTGTCGAACCATTCCCCTTAACCCTCCATTTGAAGTCTAAGTCGTGTACACGCTGTGGGAAACGTTTCGTTTCGCCACTTGCCTGAATTCGCCACTTGCCTGAATTATCGGGCCTTGGAGAGGATGGATCTGGACGAAGAACAGGGCGCGGGATACCAACAGTGGGGCGGCAAGCGCATAAAACGCGGGCCCCAATTGGCTTTTCCAGTCTACAACTCTTCCGACCAAACCGACGGTCAAGAACAGAAGGCTCAGCAAGTCCAGAGCATTCCACTGGTCTTCACAATATCGGCCGAAGTTTCTTGCCATCTCGCGTCCCTCCTGGAACACTCCACCCTGAGGCAACATCGGGTTCAGCGAAGAAGAGTGTTGCAGTGAAAAACGCTTCAAATTGGTCCCCGACGGCATATCGCTTTCAACTGTAGCATGGAGTTGGTTGACGCCCCACCGTGCATGCGACCAGACTATCCGAGAAGAAATACTCTTGTGTTGGGGCGTGTGCAATTGGGCCTCGGTGCAATTGGGCCTCGGTGACATACAAACCAGTATTGGAGGATCGCTCACATCCAAGTAAAAGCTGTTTTCAGCTCGAATTCTTGCAGGAACTTACCACGATGAAGATCTTCGCGCAAGTGGCCTCAGGCCAGTCGAGCGTCCTGAACACGACTTGTTCATCGGTGGAACCCTCGACATAAGATTTCTCGGCCTGTGAGTGGAAGAGCACAAATGTACTCAGCGCCACGATCATCCCAATGTAGACGACGAGGTCGAGCACCATCCTCATGGCCGGCACCCTGAAGTAGTCGTTAGGCCTTGCAGCCAAGCCTGCGACTATAACCTGTGCTCCAGGGAAAGGAGTAAGACTGGGGAAACAATCGTTGGCTCCTTGTAGCAATGCCCGAGGCGATCTGAAGCTGGCAAGAAGGCTTTTGCTACCGAAAAGAGTGGGATGCTTCTATGGTGGTCTTGATGAAGCGTGGTCGTCCGCCTGTCCAATCGCTTCTCCAATCGTTTCGTCGATTTGTTCGTCGTTCAAATGGCCATCTTCTTTCTGAACATTGACGTCCACACCCCAATCAAGCACAAGGCAGACATCTCATTCCACTCCCCCACGACTCAGATGTAAGATCTCGTTGGAATCCGCAAGAACCTCCTTCGGGTCGCGCAGGCGAGGCAGGCTGAGGGCGAATTTCCATTTCAGGAAGTCCATGACGAGAGGAACGTTGCAGAAAAGCTCCCTCTGCTGCTGTCTCGAGATCATCATCTCCAGAGGCATTTCGAAGTCCTCGAAAATGCCCAAGAACTTCGGCTCAATTATGTCACGGCAGTCGTCCATGTCCCTCTCGAAGGATCTGACCGATCGAGGAAGCCGCTCAAGTACCTCGAGCAAGAGAGCGTTCACGCTCTCCTGAATGTCTGTGATGGCTCTTCTTTCCCCCTCGCTAGCCTTTTCGGCAGCCTCTGCGAGGCGTATCGGTTCGCAGCAGAGGTCACGGCATCCAAGCAGCAGTCCTTGAAGGCCTCTCCTCGAGCGTGCGCAATTGCGAGCTTCTTGAGATGGCTCGGCGAAGGACGGGCGGAGCAGGCCATGAGGGAAACTTCAGGCCGAAAGGTCTTCCAGGATGGCGTCCAGTTGTCGTTCCGCGCACTTCGAGGAAACCTCATCAAGTGGAACCGTCTCAGCCACCTGACACCATGTACGGCGACGGAAAAAACGTTTCCGAGACCTGTGTCAACACCACATAGACCACGAGCAAGCGCGTGCAATTTCGGTGGGCATTTTGGACTCCAACCTCACCACGACCTTTCCCGCACCGGGCTCGAGGGTGGCCGACCTATGATGAAATGCTGGCGAAACCGGTATTCATGGCGGCGGCCAGCGATGGAATAATACGCAAACGGCATCAATAGAAATACGTAGATATTTGACTGCTGCGCACGAACGGAATTTATCGTACAGAAAGAAAAACAATTCCGAACGATTCCTTCATCATTTGGGCGTCTTGCCAACTCTAGGCGGGCCACTCCCGGACACCGTTGAACACATGGATTTAGGCATGCTGGGCACTCATTGTGCCTTGAGCCTCATTTGCCATCAACATTACACAATCGAAGATGCCAGTATCTCGAAAGAACGCCAAGTGCGATGGCAACGAAGGCGAACCCGGCCCAGTGGGAGTGGTACCCACCGATCACAAAGCACACGCATGACATGCTTTATTGGTCTCGTAGAATTGCACGATGTTCGGCGGGTTACCTTTTGGTTGTTGTTTACGCATGTCGGAACCTGTTTCAAAAGCCAGAAATCGTTTTGTTGCTGAGCCCACCGCAGGTAGGACCCGGTGTGCCTCCATGCCACAGATTTCAGGGAGTCGACAAGTTCCGTCACCTTGACAAAAGTAAAGATGACATCGACGCAATTTTCAGCGCATTGGGCAGAACTAGAACACACATGCAGCCGAGCAAAGAGGGCACGGTTCCCGAGCAAGAAAAAGCGACCTCTCTCCCAAGAAGACAGTTGTTGCAACCACACGCTGCGGGGAATGGAAAAAATATACCTCACGCGACGGTGATACAGTAGCAGCTGCAGATTTTGGCTCGAAAACAAATTACTTGACCTGGAAGACGTTCTGACCCTCGACCGCAGCTTTCACGACGACCTCGAACACGCTCAGACTTTCGCTTCTCCACCCCGCGTCCGACGGAAGATTATAACGGAACTCGAGGGGCGTGTCTCGCTTCTTCGGTGGTGGCACCTTGCTATCTGTGAACCCATCCAGCTGGAAGGGTGGGCGTAATGTAAGTTCGTGCTTATATTCACCTCAGTATCATATCGAGACGATCAGAGCACAACAGAGTGGTTCTAAGGCCTGTAAGGTCGGGACGAATCCAACACAGCCATGCACGACCGTACTTATTCATTCATTGACGACGATCATTTGCACGTTGAAGGCTTCCGCCCCTCACAAAAATCGGTCAGTGAAACATAACCGTGTCCTCGCTTCAAAAATGGATAAAAAACAATTTTGTTTTTTTGCAAGCTCACTATCACTGATGCAAGCACGACGATGCAAAAAATTCCCGGAAAAAGGGAAAGACCTCTGTTTGGACCTAGATTCACGCCCGTCCCCGCCCCTACTGACCGGCGAGGTCTCCGTTTCTGCAATATTCCTCGCACCGCTCCTTCCTTTTTTTTTCTCGACAACCTCGGGGAGTATGTTTGCATGATTGGCAATGGACGTACGTGGGCAAGGGGCGTGTAGAGCTTTAGATTTCTCGAAACACTCACGTACCGGCCTCACAGTGCCATTTTCCCGTCATGCACGCCGGTCGAAAACAAACGCCGGAAAACTACTTCGTGAAAATCAGCACCTCGCATGCAGAACATGACCCCCTCCCCACCCTGAAAGTCGGAGTGTCGATGTGGTGTTTTTATCACGCGTCAATGTACCCCTAGAGCAAAACAAGCTTTACATTTGCAAGAAAACAAAAAAAAAATGAAGTAGGAAATTGTATTTCCGTGGCGTGCCAAGGGGGGCGCCCGCCTGTACTGTAGTTACAATTCCTGTCGGATATTTCGGCATTGCCTAAACCCAGCCTATGGGCCCTTGTCAAGTCTGTTTCCTCTTGCCGCAGCATCGAGGACCACAACTTCCGTAGTGTGGTCCTGGATGCATATTTTGCTTCGAAGCCCTGACAGAGCAAGTGCACGATTTCGTGAGCTACCTGCACGGACGCTTCCCGGAGATCCTCTGTATCGACCGCTGCGCGAAAATACGTCCGGATGACGTTTCGACGGAACATTTCGAGGTTGCGCGAGTGGAGAGAGACGTGGGCACAGATCTCCAACATGCGTTGCTGAAGGTGTCCATGATATCCAAGATGGTCTTCGATCGGCGTCTCCGGTGGGTGGTCAAGGCGNTGCATATTTTGCTTCGAAGCCCTGACAGAGCAAGTGCACGATTTCGTGAGCTACCTGCACGGACGCTTCCCGGAGATCCTCTGTATCGACCGCTGCGCGAAAATACGTCCGGATGACGTTTCGACGGAACATTTCGAGGTTGCGCGAGTGGAGAGAGACGTGGACACAGATCTCCAACATGAGTTGCTGAAGGTGTCCATGATATCCAAGATGGTCTTCGATCGGCGTCTCCGGTGGGTGGTCGAGGCGGCTCCTACCGTCAGCCCGCACAATCGGATTTCAAACGTGATGCACCGGACAGCACGGGGAAAGCTCGCGCCTGAAGGAGCTCCTGAGCGCGGGGACGCGGGGGATCTTTTGCGCGCTCTCGGCGACGGGGCCATCACCGACCTGTCCAACAAGACCAAGGATGACCTCCAAAACATCTACAGGCTCTGCTACCCCCCGCCGGCAAGGGTATCAGCGAGTGATTTCTGGAGTCGCCAACGGACACGCCCTTGTGTGCAACGTTTTCCCCCCTTGGTAGGTGCGAGCCTAGCATGAAGCGAGTGTTGCTCTCTAAACCTTCATCACGTCACATCTCCATGCTTGGCACTCCATCGTTGCGTGTCTTGCCTAAAGGTATCCCACCAAGGAACTTCTAATCCAGTGCCTCACGCGGCCCTGGGAGTCCGCGGGGATTGGGGATAGGGAACGGTGTTCCAGGATATTTATCGGGAAACCATCAGGGTTGACCACAGGAGTGGAAGGTCTCTTTGGGACTGATGGGGTTTTGTATGCGTTGGTGTTCCAGGTCGCGCGCGAGAGCGCGGCGGACGGAGTGGACATCATCTCGCATCGACAGGTGATGAATTATTCCAAAGAAGGACATAAATTCCATGAACCGACGCGCGAACGTCGGCACTTGTCCCATATAGAACAGTCCGGCGTGATGCCGAAATTATTTTAGTAACAACCTCTTCGCCCCCTTGACACTTCCATCGGGGCATATGTGTGCGCTGCTGTATCATCTTGGATTGGTTGGAATTTAGGTCGCTCCTTCGGTTTGTACTCACTGCTGAACTGAACGTGGCACTTTAGTTGGGCGATGCGCGCACCCTCGCGGAATCGTGCCAACTGGAATAAAGAAGGGCTCCTAGTTTTCAACAGCAACATGGGCGGTGTTGTTATTGAACTTATTTGCAGTCAAGTTGCATTGGTGCGACTTTACACGGGTTTGGTTGTTGCCGGTAGTTTCCACCCGTCCGTCATTGGTCCGTCCCTCGACGGCCTGAGTAATTAGGTCGTACCTGGTAGTGAACAAGTTGGCGGTATTTTTGCGACCCCCGTACAGGCAATTCCTTGCTACCATGCTGAATGCTGTCCTGCTGTTCCCGTGTCGCTTATCACGCTGCCAAGGTACCACCATGCCTGCTGATCACGGATATCCCATGCATGATTGCACCCATTGCCGAGAGGCTTCACCCCGGTCTACACCAGGAGGCGGCGCCCTGCCACGGAATGCCGAGCTTCAAGTTTGCCTCAAAGAACTGCAGCACGTCGGAGCCCGTGCGTACGAGTTCCCGGATCTGAACGAGGTTAGGGTCCCGCCGATGGAATTCCCATCTCCTACAACCACTGCTTCTGCGTCGGATGCCCACCCCGCTCAATCTGTGCCCACCGTGTACGCGGCCTATGCCGTCGGGCAGCCAATGCCCGGCGTTCAACCGCACCTGGACTTCCGCGCCCTCCTTCAACGTGCTTGTGACGTTGTTGAAAGGAATCGTGAGGTGCACGCTACTGAGGGCAATGCGAGCGGGGTCGACTGGTCATCTTCAGCCAAGCGCATCGCCGACCTTGCTGAGAGTACGCTCAAGTCTCTTCACAAGCAAGGATGGCACGCCATGACCCTCTTCGAGGTTGTACTGATGTACATGTTGTGGTTTCAGGCAGCTGCACACGCCGCCCCGGAGGACGAGGAACAGGGGCCGGCACCGAGGCCGGCACCGAGGCCGGCACCGGGGCCGGCACCGGGGCCGGCAACGGGGGATGGGGTGGGGAGCCGAACCTGCTGGGGCAGACGACGACGCCCCACCACTGCGCGAGATAGCCGACTTGTGGAGATCAGAGTATTTCCTGATTTCCGCGTGCCTCACGGAAGTTCTGAGGGTAGCGATAGGATCCACTAGCACAAGCACCGGCTTGGCGACGATGACCCTGCCTGGTTTCATGTCAGACGACATTCTCTACCAAAGTCAGCCAGAGGAAGGGACTGGAGTCAACATGGAGGAGGGTGCTGGCGACACTTCTCCCACCAAGGTTTTAAGAGACCTTGAGGCCGTCGTCGAGCTTTATCACAAGGTGATATGTTGGTCCTCGAATNACCTCACGGAAGTTCTGAGGGCAGCGATAGGATCCACTAGCACAAGCACCGGCTTGGAGACGATGACGCTGCCTGGTTTCATGTCAGACGACATTCTCTACCAAAGTCAGCCAGAGGAAGGGACTGGAGTCAACATGGAGGAGGGTGCTGGCGACACTTCTCCCACCAAGGTTTTAAGAGACCTTGAGGCCGTCGTCGAGCTTTATCACAAGGTGATATGTTGGTCCTCGAATTCCATCCCGAGTTTCATGGTGGGCGGCGTTCCTACCGTATTTTACTTGACAGATTACGGGTGGATACGGTGATCGCCCGAACAGGTGACCTTCAGCTGGACCNAGGGTGCTGGCGACAGGTATTCCACCAAGGTTTTAAGAGACCTTGAGGCCGTCGTCGAGCTTTATAACAAGGTGATATGTTGGTCCTCGAATTCCATCCCGAGTTTCATGGTGGGCGGTGTTCCTACCGTATTTTACTTGACAGATTACGGGTGAGTACGGTGATCGCTCGAACAGGTGACCTTCAGCTGGACCGGAATAATCTCGGGCCAGACTTGTGTCATCGTGATTTTTCTTCTGCGATTCGTCCCTGGTACTCACAGTGCTCATCGTACTCGTTTTGGTCGCCCGCTGTGTCTTGTCCGTCGTCTCGCTTTTTCAGAAGAAGGTCGAGTACATTTCAAGCCTCCTCCAACCCGCAGACCAACACGCATCCGAACGCGCATGTGAGAGTGTTGGCCGTAAGCTTCTGCCTATTTTTGTCGGTTGCAACTGTGTGTTCAGTGGGTTGTTGCGTAACGTGCTCTCGGCGCTAAGGGCCTGTTGTGTAGTATATGCTTCTGTGTCGCCCGGCTCTGCCTTTGCATGCGGCACCCAACGCCATGCTCCTACCGAGGGCTCCCGTGTATTCATTGGGAAGTCAATCCACAACCTCCACTTGCTCGGGGAACGTGAAACTATCTCAATATCTCAGCACATACTCAGCTCAACCTTTTTGTTGCCCACGTTTTCGCTGTGCTACTTCGAACAGATCGTTTGATCCAAGGAGGGGTCGGTTTTGGCGCGGCCGAGCACTCCGTCAAGGCGTTGCAGATAGCGCTTTGTGGCGACGCTCTAGGGGGGGGGATGGGCGAAGATGGGAAGCTTTCTGCCTACGGCATCTCCTTCGACTTCAGGCGGGATCAAGAATTTGATTCTTTTTGCCACTTCTACGACAACAAGTGAGTGGGTATTTGGCTCGCACCGGACGGGCCGCACGAGGAAAACCACCAAAGTTCTTGCCAATACCGGTTCGCCGGTCTTTCCCGGTGTGCACAGAGCAAAACCATGCGAAGAAGAGCAAGTTCCTACCCAGTGTCAGCGGCATGAATTCGACACATTCACCTTCAACATCACCTTGATCAACGAGTTGGAAAATGCTGAAATCAACCGCAAGACGTGCAACCTCGCCGTAGCAAGTGCCACTCAACACCCCTACGTCAGACTGCATGCTTGTCGTAAAGAGGTGTGGACTTACGGGCGATGCTTCTGCGAAGAGCCCCTTATGAGGTCCTTCGACAACGTTGGTAGAATGCGCATAACACGCGTTTCGCTGCAAGATGGGATGTGACCTGGAGTGGGTACATGTTGCGGCATTCTTTGAGGTTTGCTTGGCTCGCTTGCCTTGCACTTGCGGTAATTATGGTGTGCGATAGACCACCGTGAGCTTTCTGTCCGTTGACTCGTCTGGTAGTTTCTGCAGGTCTACCACTGGTTTGCCAAGTCTACGGCAATAATGTCGCCCCTATGCGAGGCCATGTTGAAGCACCAAAATACAAATGGGAACAGAGGAGAGGGGACGTTGCCAACACACATTCCTGGTGAAGTCTGCTACATCATTCACGACACATTTCTTCGATTCTGGTTTGGTGCTCGAGCTTTGGTGCTCTGGTCGGCGGGAAATCATCGCTTTAACCCAATGTGTCTGTGCAAACGTCTGCCCCCTCCCCCCTAGCCCTACAAAGCTCCATGGATTCTCTCTTTCGCAGCCTTCGGAAGGTTTTCAGCGTACACAAGGGTGTCAACAACGAGAGTCGCATGCATAAAGATGTCCGACATGCGTCCAGACCTTGCTGATGAGAGCTGGCTGATGGTGACACTACTGTACGTGTTGATACAATCGGGCATTCCTCCGCAGCTGAAACCACAGCTGAAACCAAGAGTATGATCTGTTTCTCTTGTCGCCTTTGCAAGACTAGACTACAATAGTTTAAACCGATAAGGGACACAGGGGACATGCCTTTGGTAGGCACCGCTAGCTCCCTGTTTGCGCTGCTGCTCTAGGTGGCAGCGGCCGGCGGGTGTAGAATACTATCAAAACCGCAAAATACAACCCGGTAGACACAGTTCAATTCACAGTGGTCGATCCATCCAATCAATAAAACAATCCACGGCCATCGTCTGTTGTGTGGGACGTAGACTTTGCAAAACAGAGCCGTGCAGGGTTGTTTCCTGCGCTCAGGATTTCTCGTATTTTCCCTCAATCGCCTCCCGCTTTCATTGTAATCATTCTATCGCGCGCGGGCTAGCGAGCTGACGCGTTTGTCGGCCGTTGGTGCAATTCGAGGCGACAGCGCCCGGGAGGGAGGGATCGATGAAAGGGGTGTTTCATCGATTAGCATCGGAGCATCGCCAGCAGCAGCAGCGAGCATCGACTGCTGTCCAGACTAGTCTAGTCTATAGGTCTACGCTGTGCGTGTGAGCACCGATTGTGTCCTCTTCGTCGGCGTAGGGGCAGTGCCCATTAAGACTACGGGAAACGGGGAGGGCTGCAGCAGAGAGGAGCAGCGACTCGNTGCTGTGCGTGTGAACACCGCATGTATATATGTGTCCTCTTCGTCGGCGTAGGGGGAGCGCCCGTTAACACTGTGGGAAACGGGGAGGGCTGCAGCAGAGAGGAGCAACAACTCGCTCCTGCCTCCGTCAACGTCAACCTCACCACACGTCAACCCCAGCNCTGTTTCATCGATTATCATCGAAGCATCGCCAGCAGCAGCAGCGAGCATCGACTGCTGTCCAGACTAGTCTAGTCTATAGGTCTACGCTGTGCGTGTGAGCACCGATTGTGTCCTCTTCGTCGGCGTAGGGGCAGTGCCCATTAAGACTACGGGAAACGGGGAGGGCTGCAGCAGAGAGGAGCAGCGACTCGCTCCTGCCTCCGTCAACGTCAACCTCGCCACACGTCAACCCCAGCCAGCGAGCCAGCGGAGCCAGCGANACAGCCAGCGAGCACCAGCTCGCTCGCTCGCGCAGAGCCTCGCCTCGGAGAGCAGGAGAGCAACGTATATCAATAGGCTCTCCAGGACCGGGTTCCAAAACTGAACCATCTTTACGTACCGAGAACATTCCTGTATGCGAAAGATTACTGAGTCAGAGACGTAGAAATCTGCGTTTTGTGAAGGCGGAAGAATAGTCCCCAGCCAATCAGAGTGTCGCACGGGATGCCCGGAATAAAGTGTGTGTGGAAGCGAGGAGTGTCACTTGTGTTCCGAACGCGTCGAGAAAAGGGATCGAGGCGTCCGGCGTTTTTTACGTGCTTTTGAGGGTGGTAGTAGGAGGGAGAGCAGATTCTTAGCGCGGGCATTCGTAAGGTAGTTGCCTGGGCTAAGTGTACCCGGTGTCCTTTTTCCGCGAAGCCCGGGTACAGGGTAGTACGAGTTGCGCCAAGTAATTTTCGAGCGTGTTCCTATGTGCGGTGGGCTGTTAGTCTCCGCAGCCCCGGTTACCGGAACGCACGTACCAGGTTTCGGGCGCGGTATAGTCCGCAGCCCTGTTAAGTGTGTTTATCGCGTATGAGCTTGGCAGAGTAAGGGCGCACCTCGGAAAGTCGTTTGGGCGTACACATTGTATGAATATTTCTTACGTGCGTTGTCGTTCGGCATCTTGTTAACAATGCCCGAACCGTATACGTTTGGTGGACCTGCAATGTGTGTACGCTAGTGTGGGGGAATCGTTCGCCTATGCTGTGGCGATCTAGAGAGAGTGTGGAATGTTAGCTGGGACTAGAATAGTGTTTTTTTTTGTGGGTCGTGAGTTGGGGAGATGTGATACAGAAGGAGCGGTGCATATGCAACTGACGAGAAAATATAGGTAGACAAAGGGGTTCAGAATGGGAACCTTTTGTGAGAACCTGGAACCTGGCCAGGACTGCAGAGCTGCAGAGTACAGCAGCGAGTACAGGAGGATTCTTCTCGCTTCTCCGCTCCTTTGCGCATGCTCTTTTCCTCTCTGATCTCTCCGGTGCTTCTCTGTTCTTTCCCTCTTTGTATGTGTAGTGCTGTGCTGTGTAGTGTGCGTTGCTTCATTCCCACCTACGAAGCGGAAAACAGCAGTCGTAAGTCGAGATTTGTTGACACAAAAAGAGCACCAACCAGCAGCCAGCAGCCAGCAGTACCCATCCTGATCCATCGAGTCAGCCCATCACATAAGGCTCTCGCCTCGATTTGTATCTAGGGTCGACGATCGGGTCGGCGCTAAAGAGGTCGTGATCGGCCTGCTAGCCCGTGACAAAGATGGAGAGAGAAAGAGAGAGAGAGAGAGAGAGAGAGAGAGAGAGAGAGAGA